AAACCTGGGTGTTGTTTTCACCAGAGATCACGACTCATTTCTTTAACAATCACTTGTCTGTTGTTTTTTCGTAGTGTTAAGATTGTTTGTTCCACAGATTCAGAAATTTTGACATTTCTATATTAACTTTCGTTTCTTAATATAGTCACAATATGGCTGAATACTGCCGATGTGACTTAAAACTTTAAGTCACTCACTCACACACTCACTACGGGTTCTCTCTGGCCTACAGTTCAGAAAATATAAGAATGAAAGAACTTTGTGCAGATGCTACCCATGCCATTATGGACCCAACCCTAAAACCTTTATGCTGGACGTCTCCAAACAGGATTCTTTCGGCAATTGAATTCGACAGTGAACCTCGATTCGTCAGGAAACGTGACATTATCCCAGCATCGACCATCCCAGTGCTGACGTTCCGATCCCTGAACCATTGGCGTCTCTGATTCAAATGGCTGGCATATAACTTGTGGGATATCACGTGGCCGTAATGTACGGAGTGCCATCTGCGCAGACGATTTCGCACACCGTCTGGACATGTAATTTGTTGCAAACGGCATCTTTTCTTAGTGGCAGTTGATGATCAACCGTCGAATGATCAATGCTCTCTGAATGCCAATGGTAAATTTGGCACACAATCTCTTGCAAAAGCTGTCAGATGTTACGTAGTTCAGGACTGAAACAATGTTGTGTTTGAAAATGTTCTTGCCATATAAATCACTTTCATTGTCACAAAAACAAAAAACCAAAAAGTATCGATGGTCATGACGTCAATCACTGGATTGTCTGTCAGACTCCATTATTTGCACACTGCCATAATAAAACTGAGATGTTACTGAGTGTGGAATTACACCAAACAACAAGATATATATCTGACAAAATAAACGAGCCGACAGGCAGCTGGCGACCTTGACATCACCTGCTGCAAATGAATTGCACCGCTGAAAACTGCGGAATCTGAAAAATGCTTCTCTTTTCAGATATCAAATAGCTGATGAATGAGACGTTAATGTTCCAGTAAGATGGGCCGTTATGAAAGAATGTGTCTTTGGTGCGGCGTGTATTCGCAAAAAAACAGAATGTCCCAAAGATATACCGTGCAGTAAACTTGGACAAAGCACTGTGACTATGTGTCCTAGTCCACCCAGCTGTGAATGATGGGAAAGCCAAATTAAGTTGGTGCGCCTAGCTGCTGCAAGAGTTATATGATCCCCAGGGAGTTGATAATACGATGTGCCGTTGAGTTTGACATCCAATGATAGGGGGAAAAACAACAGAAGCGCTTTAAGAATGCATGTAGAAGGGATGGACTATAGCGTTATATAAATACCTGTGTTGCTCGGTAACCTCTCGTCAGTCATATAATCATCAGCAGTCACAACTTCCGGTTTTCTAGCATGTCAACTGACGCTCAATACGCTCAAGTGAGCTACGAAGCAGCATACGTGTGACGTCAGTCAATACGTCGATAAGGAGATGGACATGTACATGACGCACATTTTGGCATCTGCATATTGACACGTGCAAATATATTCATCAATCCCTGTAAAATATTCTCCCGCCAGGATGTTTGTTGACACTGCCATCACCATTGATCCTGTTAGGAAGTACGTCGTCATATGAGCGAAATATTCTCACGCACGACGTTAAACCCAATTTCACCTCACCTCACCTGTTAGGGTGTGATCTGTGTATTGTCGCTATTGGAGAGGTATATTAAACGTTGAAATGAGGTGGATAATGGTTGTATCATCATGGATGAAAGAGTTTCAGTCGGAGTAAACACTCTATCTCCTCTATTCTATATTGCCTGAAGCATTGAACTCGGCCATTTAGAACAAATACATACATATAATTAACGGTGATTCAATCCTCGTGTTCGCGAATCCTGCCCAACTGGTGTTACTAGTCATATGCTCTTGTAAAAGAAGATTAACTGTTCACCTGTAAAAACACGGGTACAAGTTAAGTAGGGAATTGCATCGATAATTATTTGGTCACAAATGTTTCTGACATCCGTGAATGTTGTAACCAGGATCAAATAACCTCTGAGAAGGAGATGTATGAGTTCATTGCACACTTCCTTGATTGTATTGGTGATTCGTGGAGACATTCGTGACCAACTCGTGTTATTCCGGGACAAGCCGAATAGCGACTCGTGCCCCTCTGGAAGAATTTCATATTGGCGCATGAACATCAGAACTACTTTGAACAAGAACAATAACTCTATTCCTGTTTGATTCCAATGGTACTTAATATCACCGAAGCACTCGTACATTGTATAGCTGTTTTTGTTTGTACTTATATTATTGATTTTAAAGAATTAAACCTCTTTGATACAGATGCCTTGAATGGCATTTTAGAAGATGATATTTGATGAACATAGAGATTTTTTCTGGGTTACATCTTCTTTTTATTCTCGAGTACAACGTTTCAGGGCTTGGTCTGGCCCCATCATCAGGTAAAACTGAACAGTAACTGTTAACTCTGGCCGTGACGTCACAATGCTATGACGACGCAATACATGTGGTGGTCAATAGATACAGATGACATGGCTAATAGAATACATGTTATTATTAATATAAAGATGTCGTTTACTGCAAAATTAATGAATCAATTTAGAACTGTGCAGATACTTATACAAAATTGTTGATTGATTTAGAAATGTATAGAATGTAAAGTAATAGCAGTGTATACATAGAAATTATGCTTTATACATGGGAACAGTGACGAGGGTAGGGTATTGTCTTATTGTTTTATGTACCATGCATTTGGGAGGTAGACACCCTGATCCCTGTTTATTGCTGGTTTTGTGCGTTTGATGAAGATAGCTTCAATCAACTTGAATTTCCGCCAGTCACTGATGTTTTTTGCGAGGACTTCAGTTTCCCAGTCAATTTCATGATCGGGATTATTCATAATGTCTACCTCCCAAATGCATGGTACATAAAACAATAAGACAATACCCTACCCTCGTCACTGTTCCCTTGTATAAAGCATAATTTCTATGTATACACTGCTATTACTTTACATTCTATACATTTATAAATACGTCTCTGTACATTTCTAAATCAATCAACAATTTTGTATAAGTATCTGCACAGTTCTAAATTGATCCATTAATTTTGCAGTAAACGACATATTATATATTCATAATAACATGTATTCTATTAGCCATGTCATCTGTATCTATTGACCACCACATGTATTGCGTCGTCATAGCGTTGTGACGTCATAAGCATTGTGACGTCACGGCCAGAGTTAACAGTTACTGTTCAGTTTTACCTGATGATGGGGCCAGAACAAGCCCTGAAACGTTGTACTCGAGAATAAAAAGAAGATGTAACCCAGAAGAAATCTCTATGCTTTTGATACAGCTAAAAGAAGGGGAAAAACATATTTGTTGAAGACATATTGTAACCTTAATATTACCAGCTCTTCAACTTATATTTCCAAATATAAATTTCTAAATACGGTCTAAAAATCACAAATGGGATTTGTTTTATTGAACATGCAAATGAAATCATCTTTTTTTCAGCTACAGTAAATCCAAGAGCAGATACTCAAAAATGACTTTATAAAATTCATCTCAAAATGAGCATTCATGTAATACTTCAGGTGGAACTTTTGAAAGAGAACGACCCCCCCCCCCTCAAAAGTCAGACTAACGATAAAGATTAAATTAGTTATATATAGATGTAATAGTATTGTTTTTAAAGTAGCGATTTATAATTATATTTCCTAAAATGTTAGAAGCGCACGTACTATCTCCAAAACAAACCCGCAAGATCATCAGAAGTACACTCAAATGAACCCATAAGATCCGTTATGCAAACAAACGCACATGTATGTATTTCAATTTTTCACCACCCATTATTAAAGACTGCCAGAGGCAACACAATTTTTGTTAGCTAAGCTCTTTGTACTTTCAATGTGATGATAGAGGGGCGGTGGGGTAGCCTAATGGTTAAAGCGTTCGCTCGTCACGCCGAAGACCCGGGTTCGAATCCCCACATGAGTACAATGTGTGAAGCCCATTTCTGGTGTCCCCTGTCGTGATGTTGCTGGAATATTGCTAAAAGCGGCGTAAAACTAGTCAGCCAGTCAGTCAGACAATATGATGATATACATTTTTCATCATTTCTTAAACAATGACACAGTGCCACAAACGATTTAAGTACTCGGGATTATATTTACCAATGCGCCAAAATCATTACTCGTGTTCTGATTGGCTTGACGCACAAACATCGAGACGGGGACGAGTGGAGACGAATGTCGAGGAGAAAGAGGTTAGGTTGAAGGACCAGCAATACATCTCTCTTTCAAGGAGCTTTGGAATCCTGTACAAAAGAGTCATGGGCATAACACCTAAGGAGTTGTATCGAAAGTTAACAGTATTGATGTACAGTTTTGTCAGATTTCTTCCTCAGCTGGATACTGACCTGGCATGTTACGACGTGTGATCAAACAATATTAATGAAGTGAGGCTTACATATAACTGTTATGTTAGGATGGAGTGATTTTCAGAGTTGAATGCAGTTGAAAAAGTTGGATGCATTTCTGCCGATGTCCGATCATGTCGATAATTCCTGTTGTGTCTCTCCAGCGTGAAACATGACTTTTTTAAGTTTGACACATTTTCAAAATGTTTTGTGAAAATTTGTTTTGCTGAAAACTTAAGTAGAATACAGGATCAGTTATGAAAGTAGGACAAACATTGCCACGTGTGTGCCAAGTGAACAAATACCGCATTGAAATTGGTTGAAAAGGAAATCAAATCTTGTTGAATGCAATGACTATATTCTGAATGAATTTTTTGTATATTATAGAAGTTGGGTTTATGTTGAACATTATATGAAATCCGAGGTCACTATACATTGAATTCGACAGTTACGAGGGTGACATGTGTGTTCTAGGGTTATGGTAATGGTATTCCTGAGATTAAATAGCTGTCATCAATATAGGAATTACCTGATATTTACAGACAACAAGCAATAACATAACTACAATTGTTTATTTTGTTACAACTTTGTTCATTCATTTTTGTGATGACCAATGTACAATAGATCTGAGTTTGTACATAGTCATTGTCATCTCTTTCGTGGCGACCTCTAAACAAACAAATCTGGACTAGACAAACACGTGACTGAAGGCATGAGCAACTACACACTTTGACAGACACATGATGAGTCAGGTCACACAATCAGCAAGGCCATGTGATCAGTTAGGTCACATGATCACCAAGGCCACATGATCAACTAGGTCACGTGAACAGCCAGGCTACATGTTCAGCCAGGCCACATGATCAACTAGGTCACATGATCAGCCAGGTCATGTACAAATTCAATCCGCTTCTCTTAAGTCGACTTTTATGTCAAGTGTTTGATGCAAGGGACGCTGCATGGAGAGTGGGCACTTTGAATATTGGTAAGGCCTCCAGCTTTTTCAGGAAACAGGTATGCCGAATCCTTTCGATGCGTCACGGCTGTCCTGCACAAAATAGAAAACATAGTGTAAAACGTTTCATGAAGTATCAAAAACATTAAAGTTGAGACTGAAAGATTTAAGCTCTGAATTATTCCCGACAATCATCCATGAAAGTAATATTGCATCATGCATATTCATCTTGGTTGCGAGTGTCCCGCTCAGTATTCCGAACATTCTATTCTAGATAAATGTATTTCAAAATGTTCTCAAGCCTTGATTGTTGGGACTTACTCTTGAGTATAATACATCTTTAAGAAATAAAAACATTTTTTTCTTAAGCAAAGAAGTGATATCAACACACTGCACAACAACCGCTTACCAGGTTATCAGCATCTGAAGCTGTCACTCTGACAACCACGTGTCAAATTGGCCTGGTCTCGAGAATGGTCTCTTCACAGGTGACGGGGTTGAAGATGGGTGGGTTCAGGTTCCGGTTGATGGTGAGTTCAACAAGTTCCTCATTCGACATAAATCAGTAATTGTTTCCATAGTTCTTATATATACGCAGGAGACTGCAGAACAGATATTTTAAAACAATAACTCTCGTCACTAGAAAGTTTAAATGTATTTGCTTTGCATGTCATTTTCAGATTGGTTACTGACTGAACTACAGTTACCTGACAGAACAAGCATTACATAAGCTTGATTTACCCCAATACTGTATATACATGTCTGTATCATAAATCGTAACTATACTAGGCACATAAAGAAACTGTGCATACACAAATTTAAAATCTAAATTTATCAAACCTGTGTAGACACATAAGGATTCAAACACAGAGATTAGTGACATGTATCCAACATGCATGCACGTGCCATGTTCCGTGACGTCAGTGGGTTCGTCCTTGAGACGTGCAATACGTTGTTGCACGTGCATTCCGGGAAAGAGAAACAGAGCAAATGAATGCCACACAATACTGTCACTTTGGAAAGCTCAACCCCTGCCCTTGCGATCGTTCAAAAAATTAAACGGCTATTGAACATAGCATGCCAAGGCTCACGTCTGCACAATGTCATGAGGCCATCGGGATGGTCCGTGGGGGAATGTCTCAACGACAAGTGGCTGCACAGTTCCACTGCCACCGGAACATAATTTCTGCACTGGTGAGACGCTACCAGAACACAAATGACGTCATCGATCGGCCACGTTCTGGACGTCCACGTGTAACAACGCCAAGACAGGACAGATGGATAAGGGTGACCCATCTTCGCCACAGGTTTCAGACTGCAGTGATGACTGCCCGAACCATCCCAGGACTTCGCCGTATACACCCCAACACAGTTCGACAACGTTTACGTCATCTCGGGATCAGACCACGACGTCCCGCCATACGGCCTATCCTGACACAACGTCATCGACAAGCTCGCCGAATGTGGTGCCGAAATCATGTCCGCTGTTTTGGTGGAGAAATGTTGTTTTTACAGATGAGTCCAGGTTTAACATTTCCCATAGTGATGGACGTCAACGTGCCTATAGACGCGTGGGAGAACGTTATGCACAGGCCTGTGTCTTGGAGAGGAATCGCTTTGGTGGTGGTTCCGTGATGATTTGGGGTGGAATAACAGCACGCCAAAGAACTCCTTTGGTAATTGTTCAGGGCAACTTAACTGGTGTGGGCTACATGGATCAGATTCTTCGACCTGTGGCAATTCCTTTTCTGCAACGTCATGGCCCTGGGTTAACATTCTAACAGGACAATTCCCGCCCTCATACGGCAAGTGTTGCTATGGATTTCTTGCAACACCACAACGTTGACTTACTGCCTTGGCCTGCAAATTCACCGGATCTCTCCCCGATAGAGTATGTTTGGGACGAGATGGATCGACGTCTACGCCGTCTTCCTCATCCGCCAGATAACGTCCTTGACCTTGCAACAGAACTTGAGAGAATCTGGCATGACATCCAACAAGCCTTCCTTGCACGTTTGACAGGCTCTATGCGTCGTCGATGCACTACTGTTCTCAATGCCGATGGTGGACATACCCGTTATTGAGCTTGTGACACGGTCGTTTGACCCCTGTCCCGCTTGTGGACTCGTGATGTCATTGTGATTTACTTTTCAATTGCAATTCTCCCGACTTGTTATGGTCTCATGATCCTTCCATTAAAGTTTATATGTGCCTTTGACATTTTTATCGTACTTATCAACTGGGATAATATTTTTACAATGCACAGTTTCTTTATGTGGCTAGTATATGTATATATGTGACAAATAGCTGTCTGTTTTAACATTTGGTGTTATGACTTTTCTATATGTAAATAATACTGTAATGAAGATATAACTCCTTTATACTTTGTAATTAAAGTGCGTATGTACGCATATTTGGTATGGTCGCTATATGCCTGAAACAATGCCGATGCAACGTAAAACATCAACTAAAATCAACTCAATATATATGTCAATAACCCTTGCTTCTTAATAGTATTTAAACTAACAAAAGAAATGTACTATACGCTCTTCCTTGTTGATGTAATGTACGTCTTTAGTTTCATCATATTGGGATATATGATACCCAACTTATACGTTCCAACTCACCTTGATATTTGATGAGTAGACTCTTTGACTTAGACGCCATTACAAGTACTTATACCAGTAGGGGGCGTTATTTCCATTGTTTCCGTGTGTTTTTGCATATCCTTGGCTCACATTTATGCTTACCTGTGAGATTTTATTGACTTACCTGACACATGGATATTGTACCAGAAAAGGTTTAATGCAATTAATTGAAGAAAAAACTAGTATGAACAAAATTATAGTTTGTGTCTCTCTATAAAGAAATGCTAGTATCTGTAAATTGAGAAAATGCTTGGATTAGTAATTAACAACAAAACAATGATCTGTGAAACATTCAAACTGTGTCAAAAGCTACAATGGATACTGATATCAACCCACTCAAGCTGGCAGAATGAGTTTTGGATGTCGTTTTACTTGATGATGAACGGGTATAAAAAAGGGGATGTGGAGAATCCCAGGACTCCCTAGCTTCAGGATCACTGAGTTTTGTTTAAAGTGCAGTGTACATGTAAAACAATGATGAAGCAGAAGATTTGTCCAGGAACGCTAGGATTAATTTAAAAACAGTGAAAATGTTAACAATATAGATAGGCAGAATTAGTGTTTGGTGTCGTTTCACCTGATGATGAACGGGTATAGGGGATATGGAGAAACTCAGGAGTCCTTCATTCAGGATCACTTAGGTAGTTAAATGTGCCGTGTATAAATTAAGAAGTGACCAAGCGCATGATTTGTTCAGGAGCAGTAGGATTGGTATAAAAAAGTGAAAATGTAAAACTGACAGTAAACAATGCAAAAGCCACATTGATCAAGCGCAGAATTCGTTCAGGATCACAAGTGTTAGGTAAAAGTACATAGTATATGTAAAAAAGAAAGCAATTCAACCTCATAATTCGTAGTTGACAGCGCAGTGCTTCCTTCATTGATCCTTGTTTTGTCATAGCCTACATACACATAATATCATTCCGCCAGTGCAGACATTAATGTATGACTGCACTAACAGTCTATGGCAGGGCACACATCGCGTAAAACAAAACTACTGTAAAAAGTATCGTAAATGATAGTGCTGAAAATTTTTGTTTTCCTGAAAATAAATGTGTATTTGTTATTCACATCATAATATTATTGTTGCGCAAGAGAAATACGAACGATACATGTGTTAAAAACAAAAAGGTAAATATATATCCGCACTCACACACTTCCATCCAATTCATTCATTGACATGTACCGGACCAGAGGAACGGGGAGGGACATGAAAATGAACTTCAAAAGTCGTACTGCACATGGTAAAGGTCTATCCCGTATAGGAGATATTCAAACAACAAAAAATAATTTCATAATCATTAGAAAGCAATATTAAAGCGTCTGCATAACAATATGTTCAGCTAGAATGCAAATATAGACAAATATATACAGGATATATTTGGCAATTTATTTGGCGTTGAGACTTTCATCTTCATGGAAATCCGCCATATAACCCAATAGGTACACATTTAAATCAGATAGTATTGAGCATTGAAGTATTTTTAATACTGACTGTATAAATTACACTTTTGAACATTAATCCCGAAAACCCTTGAGGCGATTACTCCAGTACTCAAACGATATATAGTATGACCAGAAATTATTGAGAATTTTAGGAATATGTTTAATTGGATTTCTAGTATAAACAACCATGACCAGCTATCAAGTGCTTGGTTTCATTCAAGAGAGACAACTCCGTTTATCCTTTTTCATTAGTTTTTGAAGAGTTATCCCCCTTTGTTTACTTGCTAGCAGACGACATTTTCAGTGATCCTCAGTATGGATGATTTAGAGAAGAGGAAGTATTATAACAAGGACATCAGATCAGCTAAAGTGATTTCAAGTAGAACAGGCATCCCTTTGTCCTCTGTTTATCGTGTTTTGAAAAATATTGCAAATGGATATGGCATTGAGCACTAGGGAGGCGCAGGTAGGCCCAGAAAATTGACTGTCAGTGACAGGAGGCGGCTTGGTATTCTTGTTTCTAAAAACAAATAAAGGAGTTTAGAAAACTTAAGGCTGGATATGATTGATAGAGGAACTGTGGCTGTCTGTAAGGAGACAATTAGAACTGAGCTGCATGCAATGGGTTGGCAGAAAAGTCGAGAAATTCCATCACCGATCATGAAACCTAAACAAAAGGAGCGAAGGTTGAACTGGTGCTTACAGCATAGAAATTTTAACTGGGACAATGTGATTTTCTCAGATGAAAGTTCTGTGTGGCTGTATCCTAATACACTGAAATTCTGGACCAAACAAACTGAAAAACCTTTGTATCAGCGCCCAAAGTAAAGTCCAAAATTTAACGTGTGGGGTTGCATATCTGTGTTAAGGGCAACGCCCCTCTGTGTATTTGAACGGAATATGAACAGTGAGCGGTACACAGATATTCTCGAGGGGCATTTACTTCCATCTGCTCACGTGTTTGGATTTTCCAGCAGGACAACGACCCAAAACATCGTTAAAAGCATTCACAGGCCTGGTTCCGGACCCAAAATATGACATTATTAGATTGGCCAAGCTATAGCCCTGACCTAAATCCAATAGAAAATGTTTGGGGACTTGAAAGTCAGGAAAGTGTCAATAAGAAAAATCTGACAAATATTGCTGAAATGAAAGAAGATGTGGTCTGATATTGGGACAGCATGGACCATGACTTTCTAACTTCTTTGATCAGTAGTATGCCCCGCCGCATTCCTGCCCATGGTGACTTGACAAAATACTAACTGTTCACCTGTCTTTGAATCTGGAGTTATGTTCGGCTAATATTCACATTTAATACGTGAGTAATGAGTGAAAAAAATATAAAAAATTACAATCTTAAATTCTCAATAATTTCTGGTTGTACTGTTCATCAAGTGATGTAAGTCTTACTGTTTCCACCCCAGTACGGTAGCAGAGGTTCCTGGCAACAGAGGAATGCTGTGGGTGACATGGAATTGGTATCATTGGGTGGCCGCAGCGTTGAATTTCTGTCCACGGTGATTTCAACTTTGGCAGGCGGATTAGCCCTTAGTCCGCCTCCATCTACTGCATCAACAACAATCTGGAGAAAATGAAAAACATAAAATTGCTATAATGCTGCCTTTAACCTTACAGCTGTTTTTTGTTGTTGCAAATTCCACGAACTGATGGGTATCAGCTAGTTATGTACCTGGCAAGCATGGAAATGGTGGTTCCTTTACAGTAGCATATATGTGGAGGCGATGCAATTCAGTTGGTTAATATTGTTTATGAAGCAATTCCCAGGTATATTAACTAACATACCATAACCGACCACGAAGAGGTGATATGGATCCTTGAATACATGATCTCTTAATCATACACTGATATTCAGAATTTGTGACATGATATTTATTTCTCACACTCCTGGGCCTAGACTTTCGAAGCTCTCTTAGCGCTAAGATAGTCGTAAGTGCCATACATTAGCATTAACTGACGAATGTCTTAGCGCTAAGAGAGCTTCGAAAATCTAGGCCCTGTTTCTTCCAGCTTTTCATCCATGTTGAATGATTCAACTCACCGCGTATACTCCAGTGTAGCTTGTGTCCGATTCCAGAAAGCACCTGAGGCTGACTGCGCCAGTGTTCAAGTCCACCATGAAGTACAGCCGTCCAGAAGTACTTGAAAGAAGGTTGTTGACCTCATACTGCACAGTGTTGTACGGGGCCTGGGTGCAGAAAGAGATGGAAATGTAAATACCTCCAATGTGCACATTTACATATTGATGTCTATGTCACAACACAAATGGTAACAAAGAAAATTCTTACTTCTACACTCACGAATCAATGTGTAGTTATGACATTATCTGTGAAGGAAAGCAAATTGCATTCAATGCCTACTTGGATCATGGCTAAACATTCGAATGTCAAGGTGAAGGTCATCTTTCCTCAATATCCTGTATGGTCTCCGTGAAAGTCCAGGACAACCTGGCATCGTCGCAAGATGGAACCAATCAGATCTGTGACATGTGAAATGTTCATCCACGCTTCATTCAGTGTTTGTGCCAACTGTTGTAGGTTCTGTCTCGGTTGTTGACGTGATCGCAGAGTCTGATCAAAGGCATCCCATAAACATTCTATGGGGTGCAGATATGGAGACCTTGGGGTCATGGCAGTACTTGGATGTTGTGTTCCTCAAAAAGACGTTCGTCTTGCCGTGTGAGGTCGGGCGTTGTCGTGTTGAAAACTGACATTTGTCTGTTGCATAATGGGAAGGATTTGTGGCCGAATAATTTCATCTGTTAACGTTGTGACGTAAATTGCACTGCACGTGTACCAGGTGGGAGATGGCGGTCCACATCTTTACATTCCACCAACTAAACCTGTATGTAGTTGCGAGCATAATGTTCCTAACGAGGTCTGTAAACACGAAATTCGTACTCGTCACTGGTCCAAATCACTCCCGATGCATGCTGACAAAGGAAATTTATATTTAGCATTTATTGTTGATGAAAATCAGCAAAACTCCAATGAGATGTTTCTAAATTTTACACTTGTGTGGGTGCCACTCATACATTCTCCATCTTTAGTGTTCGGCGACCTGATCTTCTCTGTTTGCTCTGTGTAGATTCAACGTTTGGTAGAAAGTGACAATATCTGTACAGAAACATCGAATGGACTTGTGCCAGGTACTAATGCAAATGACGCTCATTAAGAGCATTTGGAATGGTCTTCCCGAATCCATCTGAGATGTATGTCCGATGAGTCTGCGAAGGACACCCCTGCCAATCTTACTTTCAATATGATCCCCATTAGTTTTCCCAGTCTCATGACTGGCACCAAAATGAAGATACTCTAAAACCAGATGCCCTTTCTGACTATCCGCATGTTTCCCATTGCACAATGTAGAGTCATAGGGAAACTGAACAAAGCTGATATAGCTTGTCATACAGTTTCAGAACCGCTAAAATTTTCTAAACCGTTGAAAACAGCGAACAACGACCCCGACCCTGACTGGCGTGTCTTCGTCTGACTAGTGGCACACGTGTCTTAGCTCTGCGACTGTACCTCGAGCTTGATGTCGTCGGTTACGATCCATGCGATGTTTAGGTAAGTGAGTATATACATATTGTTATGCACTTGTTCCACAATATTCACAAAATATGAACATGGAAATGGAATCTGGACATTCGGCGTGACCACCAGACTGACACATTGTCCAATGCGAAGGTTCAGAAAGAGTTGCAAGTTACACTTGTGTGTGTTGTAGAAAAATCCTCCGATGCCAATATACTATCCAGATCCTGGCATTCCAAATGACCTTGCAAAATTAAACTATTGTCAGAAAAAATCAGTTTCTGTACAAGTCATATTTCAACATGATGGGTTTTACGTTAATATAAACAAGAGATCGCGAGTCTGCAAGGATTATCAGTGTAGTGTTATAGGTTACAACTACCACATACCAGGTTATCAGCATCTGAAGCTGTCACTCTGAGAACCACGTCTCCAATTGGCCAGGTCTCCAGAATGGTCTCTTCATAGGTGACGGGGTTGAAGATGGGTGGGTTCAGGTTCCGGTTGATGGTGAGTTCAACAAGGGCAATGTCGTATAGTCTGGGACTGCCATTGTCCTCAGCTCGAACATAAATCTGTAAGGTTGCACATCATAATACAGTCAGCCAAAATAATGCAAATATGTGAAATGCATAATACCTCTTGAAATATAACTGTTGACTTTTAAAAGTGTTCAAACAAGGATAATCCTACAGAATTTATGTAAGTCACAGTGCATTAGCAGACTTCTTACAGCAAGACTGACTGACTCATGGTTTTACACCGCTTTTAGCAATATTCCAACAAAATCACGGCGGGGGACACCAGAAATGGGCTTCACACATTTGTATCAAAGGGAGCATTCGAAACCGGGCGTTCGGCGTGACGAACAAACGCTTTAACCACTAGCATACCCTACCGCCCCTCTTACAATAAGGACCGCCTCCGTGGTGTAGTGGTTAGAGCGTCCGCCCGAAGGGCGGAAGGTCGCGGGTTCGATCCCCGATCGCGTCATACCAAAAGATGTTAAAATATGGTACTTGTTGGTCCATGCCTGGCGCTCGGCATTAATGGGTACAACAAGGACTGGTCGGCTTGGAGTCAGCATAATGTGTCTGAGTGGGATATTCATGCTTCACTGCGGCATGGTATCTCAGTGGGCTAGCACTATATAACCAGCTTAAGTCTGGGCTAGTACAAGCAGCCGCACATACACATACACACGCATGCACGCTGTCATATGAGCGAAATATTCTCAAGCACGACGTTAAACCCAATTTCACCTCTTACACTGACTGACGGAGTTTGGTTTTACGCCGCTTTTAGCAATATTCCAGCAACATCACGGCGGGGATTCGAACCCGTGTCTTCGGCGTGACGAGCCAACGCTTTAACCACTAGGCTACCCCACCGCCCTCACCTCTTACAAAAAGAGGTAGTGTGTTATTGAAGCCAAGACCCTCAGTGTTCGACAGCTGCAACCTATGAAATGAGTCTGACACCTGTTTGATATATAACATGTTTCTATCTACAAATACATGGATAGACGTTTTCACAAATACCTTATAATTTGTCTCTGAGGCACTGTTGATAGCTGCAGGGTTTGTTGCCTGAATATTGCCTAACCCATCAATTGTAAACAGAGCCAGAGCATTTGCTGGACCCTTAATGGAATATGAGATCTGGTTGAATTCCGTCTGTGAAGAAAATATGGAATATGTGTGACAGCGTAAATCTCTTTTGACAAAACTTAGATGTACGAAAGCATTATTATTTCAGCTGCATAGTGATGGGATTTCTTTTAGAAAGTTAATATTGATTTATAACTAAATGAGGGGAATTCTTCTCTTCTTTTTTAATCAATATCACTTAGAATACAGGCCTGTCAAAATAAAAGAATTTTTCCCAGAGAAAACATAACCAAACATTTCTCAATAATCCTATGGCCGAGCTTCATCACAGAATAGCACTGTTGCCTATCAAAGCAAGTCAGTAGCGCTTAATATCCAGGCAATTTCCTGCTCAGTGGCGCTTTACAGAAAAATTACACAATGATAAAAAACAGTGATGCCTAAAAAGACAGTAAAAGCTAAGATGATGAAGGGGTGTGATTCAAAGCTGAAGTATTGTCTGAATAGGTGTGTTTTAAGTTTTCTTTGGAATGAATCCCTCGATTTTGCACTTTTCAGTTCAGCTGGAAGTTCATTCCACAACGCTGGGGCTGCAACTGTAAAACACCCTTCCCCCATTTTAGTGGTGGTTCTGGGGATGGCAAGATCATTCAAAGCACTGCTGGATCGAAGAGTTCTATTTGAAGTTTTGTATGAAATTAGGCGTCTTAGATACTGGGGAGCAGTGGGATCATTCAGGACTGAATATGTAAGAAAAAGCAGCTTATAGGTGACTCGTTGCTGTACAGGAAGCCAATGTAGCTCCCGCAGGATTGGTGTGATTTCACAGTGCTTCCTGGAACCCGTGATGAGCTTGATGTTTGAGCTTGATGTTCCATAAAGCAGCGAGTTACAGTAATCAAGGCGGGATGTGATACTAGCTTGCACAAGAGTTTTCAGACAGTCCACAGTCAGATATTTCTTGATGTTGCTGATATTGTAGAGACAGAAAGAGATAGAGCGATAGAGGGATCTCACGTGGGGTTGAAAAGATAAGGATGGATCAAACATCACACCGACATTCCGTATAGATGAGCTGGGACTGACAGAGCCGTCGCCAATGGTGATGCTGAGGGGTGGGACTTTCAGTCGTTGTTGCATAATCATGAATTCGTTTTTTTCGTCATTCATTTTCAGAAAATTGGACTTAACCCAGGAGCGCACCTCTGCGATACAGATCTCTAGCTGGGTTTTCCGATCAATTAATTGGGATGCTTTTGCAGTGATGTACACTTGGCTGTCATCTGCGTAAGTTTGAAAGGAATGGAATGGCTCCTGATGACGTTACCGAGGGGAAGTGTGTACACAGTAAACAACATGGGTCCCAGAACCGAGCCTTGCGGGACACCGAATTGCATCTTGGACACAGGTGATCGATGGCCATCGACTTGCACTTGCAGATGACGATTTCCTAAGTATGATCGGAACCACTAAAGAGCGGTACCCGTAATGCCTAGTGTGTGCTCCATCCTCCGAAGAAGGATATTGTGGTCCACTGTATCAAAAGCAGGGACATGTCCAATAACACCAGCAGTAACAGTTCTTGGTTGTCTAGGCTTTTGGCAATGTCATTTTGCACACACAGAAGGGCGGTCTCAGTGCTGTGTTTCTGTTTGTAAGCAGACTGAAATACTTCCAGCAGTTCATTGTCTTTAAGATGTTGTTGAAGCCTGGATGCAATGATGTTTTCGAGGACTTTAGATAGGAAAGGGAGATTAGAAATAGGTCTGTAATTCATCATTACAGTGCTATCTAGAGACGGCTTCTTTAAAAGCGGAGTTACCAGAGCCAACTTGAACTTGTCAGGCACAACACCGTCGCGGAAGCAGGAGTTAAGAAGGTAGGTAACAGCTGGGGCCAGAGAATCACAGCAGGATTTAAACAGTGATGTCGGCACGGTGTCAAGAGCACAGGACTTTGTAGGTGATTTCCTGATGATGTTTGAACACTCAGACACTGTAAGGGGACGGAAACGACAAAGCTCGGTGCCAGTGAACTGGTGGTCATGATCCAGTGCCGTGAAATCCGAGGATGATAAAGAGAGAGATTCCCGAAGGGTTTGGACTTTATTCAGAAAAAAGGAAGCGAAGTTGCCGGCCCTTACATCACACTCAGCAGCGGAAGGAAAGGATATGTGACAACGAGGCTTTAGTAACTTGTTTGCAATTTTGAAAAGTTCTTTTGGAATGTGTTTATTGTCAGTTATTTTAGTGTTGATGTCACTTCTTTTGGCCTCTCTGATATGATCTGTGGGTTTGTTTCTTTTCTGTTTGTAGATTTGACGACTGATCTCAAGTCTATCGTTCCTCCATCTCATCTCTGCCTTGCGCTTTTCATGCTTAGCAGCCTGGATTTCCGGAGACATCCACTTTGTGTTAGGCCTCATAACAACTCGCTTCTTGGTTAAAGCAGCTTGAATGTCTAACAGTGAAGTAACGATGGAATCAAACTCATCAACCATAACATTTACAGATTGACAACATGCTATTTTTCCACCGACATTAGAGTCGGCAACATCAACATCAAACTGGGCAATATCAACTTGTGTTAGTTTCCTGTATATAATATCTTTGTAGACAGTGTTTGGTCTCTCACACGTCAAAGCAACAAAGAGAGAATGGTGATCGGATATCATGTGATCTTCTGTCCACACTGAACGTATCAGATCATCTGTTTCCTTAGTGATTATCATATTATCAGTTTCAGTCCAAAAGCATACAGCATTTCCATGAATTGCACTGCCTGCTTGTTTGTAGTATCATCAACATGAATGTTAAAATCTCCTGCTATCATCATTTGACCACTGCAGTTTGAAGCAGATTCTAACAGATCAGAGAAATCTGTTATGAATGTAGAGAAAGTAATGTTGTTTTTAGATGTAGGAGGTGGTCTGTACACAGCCACAACACGTACCATTTCATAGTTATTGGTAAAAGAGTTACATCCAAAGCCTGGAAACTTTTATAACGATGAGACGTAACTTTTTGGGAATAGAGATAGCTTTTGTAGACGATGGCGACTCCACCGCCAGATCGCCCTTTCCGGTTGAAAGTTTCCATGTTAAAACCCTAGGGCAAGAGTTCATTGATACATGCTCATTAATTGTGGTGATTCCACTTACAGAAAGGTCATCATCAACTGCCCTGACAGAGATGACCGTGCCACTGCCCAGGCCCTGAGATACTGTAATGGAGTAGGGATCCTGGATGAACCGAGGGGCGTTGTTGTTTCTGAACACTGATATTGTCACAGAGGCATTGAATGCAGCAGTGAGAGGAGGGCTGCCTTTATCTCGAGCGATCACAACAAACTGAAACAAACAAGTTCAGGCTCTTCAAAAGCCTATGCAATATAAGTATGTGGGGATATGACTTTGAGATCTTTGTGATCTCACTTAATCATACCAAGAATAATTGTAAGGAAAACTAGAAAAAAAATCATGATGGTACACAAAAACAACTCACATTAAACTGACTTCTTCTTTTTGTATCGGAAGTAAGTGGACGCCTCGGGCGGATATCACCAGTGGAACTGACAATCTCAAAGTAATAGAGTTGTACAGCATCTCCTACAAGCTCATACGTCACTTCATTGTTGGGGGGCTGAAATGTAAGATGTGATGTTTGTAATGATGTTCAAAACTAGATGAAGCAATGTTTCAACTGTTAACACATTTGTGAAACACCTGAGTGATTTGGATGTTTACAAGGGAGGTAATCAATACCTGGGCATCGCTATCTCTTGCTGTAAGACGCAGGATATTCTCAAGCACTGGGGTTGTCTCCGGGATCTCGATGGTATACGCTGCAGAACTCCACACTGGACGTTGAAAATTTCTTGTAACTGTTACATACAGCAGTGCTATGGCAGACCGCGGAGGGGTTCCGCCATCTTGTGCCACAACACGGACCTGGAATCAATCACAGTGAGACCACAGAACTAACAAGAAAGCCATCCCTTCTTCATGTCTTCTGCAAGCAAGTAAATACCTTCATACAAATTCATTATTTTCGCAATCGAGCTATTAATATGTATCACCAGGAATGGCAATCACGTTTGAATAATAGCACACGCTATGATTGTTATAGGACATTTAAAACTTTACTACAACCAGAAAAATATTTATCTGTACTTAGATGCAACGATTTAAGGTATACGTTTATAAAATTCAGACTAGGTTTGCTAAATTTAATGGTAAATGAAGGAAGAAAAATGTCCATCGAGAGGAATAAAAGAATCTGTCCATTATGCAAAGAAGCAGTAGAAAACGAAATTCACTTCACCTTTATCTGTAAATCTTATGCTGACATTAGAAAGAAATATATACCGGAGTATTACCTGTCAAAAAACCCCGATGTAGCTTTTAAATCACTATTATGTTCTTGCAATGAACAAAATATTAGAAATCTGTCATTGTTTATAAAACACTCCAGTAAGTTAAGAGATGAATTGTTGAAACATTAGTTACAACTTACTTGTAAAAAATACTTATGTACAACTCTGTAAACTGTATATGGGCCGGAGGCCTTGAATACAATAAAATTCTTGTCTTGTCTTGTCTTGTCTTGTCTACAAAGTCTTTTCATACTTATCCAAACACCATATACTCTCAATGAATGCTGCTACTCCATACTTACTGTGAAGTCATTGATGGGTGTGTTTGTCAGGCTAGTTCTCACTGACACAATTCCACTGTTCTGATTTATTTGGAAATAAGTATCAGCTGTGACATCTCCAATAATGCTGTATCTCAGAGTACCAAAGTTTCCCTGTAATGTCAAACGAAAAGCAACCTTTAAACAGTATTTGATTTTTGACTTGCAATCTTTTACCTCTACTGAGAAGCACTTTCAAAACTTGATCATTGGTTTACTTTCTACATATAACATTGACAATTGTAGCCATTTATTTGGACCAAATCATGTCTCTCTTCATCTGATACTCTGGTGTTGAAACTTTACTTTACAGAGATAACATAATCTTCAAGTATCCTCATGTTATGGGTTTCGGGACACTTAAGAACACACATTGCTTTCATGATCATAGCACAAACAATTATAGACAATTTATCTTAAAAACAATCCTTCAACAGAGTATTTACAATGTCTGTCACTATATAGCCAAAGTTAACACTGTTGTCCAATACTCCAATGATATACAAGAATTCATAACTTATTAATGATGTTTGTCTTAATAATATTCTAATAATACCACTCAACTCAGTCGATCAACATATACCATCATATAGTGGTTAGTTTGTAATGAAATGGATCTAGTCATTTGAACATTGGTTTACTAAATTCCATCGTCTATTGTTCACACCATCAGCCAATGAATAAAGTTCCTGGAAATACAACTACCTGTGAGTCAGCATCTGCAGCTGTGACTGTTTCCACAAACTGGCCTATTGTTGTGTTTTCAGGTATGACCCTGTTGTACTCTCTTGTGAAAAAGATGGGTGGGTTGGCATTGCGTATCACATTGATGGTGACAAAGACTGGGTTTGGATTTGCTGGCCTGCTGGTTGGAAGGCCTTGGTCACGGACATCAACGATCATCTGAAACAAAGGAAGGTGATTACTTCTGTACCATACACTTGCACCATTCATCACCAGCAGACATGATTTTTGTATATAAGTACTGTGTTGTAGCATTGAGTACACAGTAGTTGTGAAGGACAAACATCGTTGTTAGACACGTCATTATAATCAAGTAGCCACTTAATAAAGACTTTTAGGGCTATGTAGCTCCAGATAGCTTGAAGCAGAACTCACATTAAATCTGCTAATGGCTTGGTTTTCGGCAGGAGATCTAATAAGGTAGATTTCACCTCGATTGTTGACAGCAAAGAACTGCTGAGCAGTGGCATCCCCAGTTATACTGTAAGACAGCTCATTGTGAGGGGGCTGTAAAACAAAATGCATTCAACGAGAAATTGTCAGGTACAGATGAATAACAACAGAATCATAACATGATCGCATAATAAACAAGGTGCTGAATAATAAAATGAAAGAATGTAAACAGTTTTATTCTCTACCTGTCTGTCAGCGTCATTAGCCCTGATTGTAGTAATAACAGATCCCAAAGCACGGTTCTCAAAGATGGTCTCAGTGTAGTTCTGTTGACTCAGTGTGGGTGCATTGAGGTTCTTGTTCACAGTGAGATCAATCCGCAAATCAGCAAACAGTCCTCCACCATCAGTTGCTCGAACACGCAGCTTTTGGAGTACATAGTGGGACATGTTAACAGTGTGATTCATATATTACATTGTTCTACACATGTAATGTTTACAATGTGTTCCACTGTGTTACTCCATACATAGCTATGAAATAGAAGGGTAATCTTCAATACAGTAAACTATGGATATAATGAACATCAAAGGGAACACTAATGTTTGTTCATTATAACCATTGATAATTTATAACCATTGATCATTCACTAAATATACAGTAAGTGGCCTGACCAAAAACAATTAATTATATCCTTCATTTTGTTTATAAGGGTTTAGTTATAAACATTGTTAACTGTACCTATTTTTGCTATTACCAATAATAGAAATAATTCTGCACAATTTGTTTCTTCTTACTAAACTTACAGTGAATGATCTATCAGTAGTTGAAGACAGTAAGGCTCTGGTTTGAATTTCTCCACTGGCAGAGTTGATTTGGAAATAATCAAGAGCAGGTCCATCACCACGCAGTGTGTAGGTCAGCACATTGAAGGGGCTCTGAAAGAAGTGACAGGTTAAATGGTTAGTCTCAGAAATTTCAATCTTAACTAAATCATATCATTGTGTGTATATTTTTTCCAGATATATGTATCTGCACTGTTTGTAACACTGTACAATAAAGATTTCTGTAAGAATATCTTAATTTAGATATAATTACATACTGCATTGAGTCCGATATAATCAACAACAAAATTGTATAGGAAAGTACTTACGACAGTGTCCACGTCAGTGGCAGTGGCTGTGATGACTGAAACAACCTGATTGATGCTGTTCTCATCAATATTAGCCGGGAGAGTGGTAGGGTTGAACACAGGTGCCGTGTTCCTGATCACATTTACTGTCAGGGTGAGAACTCCAGCTCGAAAAGGGGATCCTTCATTGGTGCCTAAGATGGTGACCTAAATCAAAGTTACATAGACCAAGATTACTTGATGGACTGACACCTGTAAAGGATGTGTTTGTGATTGTGTTTGTACATGAGAAGCAAAACAAGTAGCCAAGAACCTCACCGTATATGTTGGAACACCAGGATCATCAGTGAATGGATTCCGCAGCACCAGTTGTCCTGTGGTAGGGTTGATAAAGAACAGTTGTGTGCCAGAGGGGGGGTGACACGTTGCTGATACTGAATGTCACACGGCTGTTAGGAGTGTTCTGATGCATTAAAAAAAATAAGGTTACACATAGAAAACAAAGGTTACAGGGTAAAAATTATATTGGTTTCTTTCACAACTCCTTCAATCAATAGCTTTAAAGTTATTGGCTGAGCATAAATGTCTTCGGATGGGCGAGTGGACAAAATTCCAGAGTTTAACTATATACCCTGATCTTTTTAAATCAGGATATGATAATGCATTCCCCCAAAGTACTACATTTAAACATGCCAACAATATCATGTTTAACATTGCACTAAATCTTCCTGCAATTTCTGCTTACCGGTGGGTCATTATCTGCTGCATTAATATCTACCAGCTCTTCACTGATACCCAGATTCTCCAATACTGAGATGGTGTCAACCAAAGTGCTTGTTGTTAGCACTGGGGTGAAGTCATTTTGGTCCTGAAATACAGAAGTCAAGTAGGCCATCAATTTCCTACTTATTTAACAACGACTTTGTGAACATCCACAACTGTGTAACTGATATGTGAACAGATCTGATAGCTATGAACAAATAAGTTTAATTCTCATCACAAAGTTCAACATCTTCCTGATGAATATTAGTTCCTGATTATCATCGTTAAAACAAACAGTAAACACTAGGTTCTACTTACAATAACACTGATGGTGACAGTGGCAGTGGAGGAGACAGCATTTGTGTTCACCCCATCCGATGTTGTCACGGTGAACAAGTACCGATTCTTAACTTCATAGTCTAGTGGTATGACAGTGCTGATAACACCAGTTGTTGGGTTTATCGAAAATGATTGGAACTCTCCACCAGCAAACTGGTAGACTATGTTGTCTGTCTGGTCGGCATCGACTGCCTGAAAATCACAAAAATGTATGATGCACACCTGTTTATCTTGATGAATGCATTCATGATATAGGGGGAAGCTTTAAAGATGTTTATGTGTTCACAGAGGTCATAGAGCCATCTGGCTTGAGGAATATCTAATGGTGTAACTGATCATTTCAATGTGCTCAAAGACAGACAAACATATTTCAGCAGAGGTGAAATGAATCACAGTAGTAATTTACCGAAACTGTGAGAACAGATGTTCCGTTGAGATTTTCTTGTATGGATCCTTCGTAGTCAACGCTAACAAACAATGGTATGCTGTCCTGTGTATCGATGACACTGACAACAACAGTGGCTACATTGGCCCTGGGTGAAGCCCCCGAGTCAATGGCCCTCACTGTGAACTCATGCTGTTGCTGGGTCTCATAGTCGAGTGGAACAAGTGTGGTGATTCGCCGGTCTGACCATCAATACGGAAGCTGGGAAGTCAATGAAAACTTTTGGTCATTAAATCCTAAACATGTTAACTGTACAATAGAATTATAATCCTGAGGTAAGATAAAATAGGATTTGATGTCCATTCAAGTTGATTGCACTTATGAGAAATGCATATACATTTGTGTCTCTGAGACTGTCTGTGTGGTGGCTTGTAATAGTTCCAGACAATGACAGTTCTGCAGTGCTAGCCCTCTGAGATATTCAACCTTAGTTAAAAAATGAACACCCCAATCATACTGACTCTGAGCTGACCAGTTCTAGTTTTAATCCAAGAATGCCAAGTGCCAAGCCGAGTTACTGCAAGCACCATGCTTCCATGTCTTTTTGCATGACATGGCCAGAGAGGAATCAAGACGCCACCCTCTCTCTATCCACAAGACCATGGATATGGTTAAAAACAACATTTTGTTTTTCTCATTGCTGAACATATCAACTAATCAACAAATTCAACCATCAAAGTACCTTTCACATTTCAACATGTTTCAGACAATCCTTATAAAAGTTGCAAACATATTTCAGAATTTCATGACATTATTTTCATAAGATTATTGATCCCATATTTTACATAGGTACCGGTTTTGGGATTCATATGAAAGTAAAATAACATTCAGTAAATAAATGAGAACACATGTCTACAGTTCTCTGCAATGAACTAATTTCATCCAAGAACTTTGACATACAATGTGTTTGGTCCAACCATGTCATATATGACAGTCGCCTGGGGTGTACCACTCTGATCACCATCCACAGCCTGGAATCATAACAAAGAAATTCATTAAATATGCCCAGCTTGAATTACAACAATTCAGTATGTTAAGAATTATGATAAAATATCTAGAGCAATCAATCACTTCCACACTCCTTAAAACTGGACTGATATATTAACTAGCTCAACTCTATCTGGAAGTGCTACAATTCTATTTGTTTGGAATCATGTTAAAACATTGATCACTTCCACACTCCTTCACCCTGGACCAACATATTCATAAGTCTAATACTCTAGCTACAGAGAAATACATACAGCAACACTTCCAACTGTAGCAGGGGGTGTTTGACCTTCTTGGACATTGAAGAAATATCTGTTGTTGACACTGTTGAGGAAGACTGGAGAGTTGTCATTGACATCGGTGACAATGACTCTCAACACAGTGGATGCTGGCTGTAACAGTAACATTTTCACACATTCAAGTCAAACTTTATTTAAGTGAAATTGCATGAAATTGTTAGAGACATGATAATTAGCAATTTATCTGAAGTTGTGAGTGATACTTACAGAAGTTCCGAGATCTGAAGCAGTGATGGTGAGGTTGTACTCTGGTACTGTCTCTCGATTAAGTGTCACTCGGTTGCTCACAACGCCATTACTGAAGAAAAACATCAATATCATCATCAATCCTCTTACAATATAAATACCATCGTCAAATATTTGACATTCCCAGCATCACTGGTGAACCACTGATGCTGTTAAAAACAGTAGGTATTTCTTATTCTATTGGCAGCATACAATGCTATCAGCACTATTGAACATTCTTCTTATAACCCTTCTGTACCTATACCTCCAACCCTACATATGTTTAACAAGCACAAGCTACTCCAAAAGCATTACCTCAACATTTCAAATTTAAAGAAGGGACACACACTTACTTGTTTATAACGAATGTATTGCCATTATTTCCATTAATGATGGAAAAGGTAAGAGCCTGGTTATCTGGATCTGTTGCCTGGAAAAGATGTTACCAAATTGTCAAAAAAAAATTCAGAATAATCAACATGATTAGAAACAGACATTAATAATCTCATATTCTCTTTGTTTTCACATCATATAAACAGAATATAAAATGTGTTTCACTACTAAGTAGAATGCATATTCTCCAATCAACCTATCTACCTGCATTGTCAACAATCTATCAGATGCCAACATTCCAATATAAAAACTCAATATTACACACGATAAAATAACATTACTGATAAATGTGATTCATAAATCCAAATTACAAAAGTTAATACAGTAAAAACTGCTGTTCATACATACAAGCATCTGAAACCATTATTAAAACATTTTACACAGAAAAAGTGTACTTAATGATTGAATGTTACAATAATTAGTATCAACAGATGAAACAAACCGGTATTGTGAAGATATCTCTGTTGACATCAATGCCTTCACTGACATAGACTGTATAGAGACCTGCTGGTATCTGGGGGTCTTTGTTGCCAGAGGAAGTTATTGTGACATACACAAGTACTGAGGCACTGCAACAAGAGCAATACAAGTCACAATTACCATAAGGGACAAACATCTGTTAAGCAATCTGTTTCACAAGAACCTCTTTAGTAGAAATACATTACAACATTTATTTCACTGATTTGATTGAAATTTACAGCAATTAAACTTTGGCCGATCTAGTGTCCAAATTCAAGTCTACTGAACAAAAGGCACTTCTGAGGTGATACACTCAAAACATTTAACATAATGGGAAAGCAGACATAACGAAAGTTTTCAGCAATGTATCGACTGAACAACCATCGAATCAAATAAATAAAAAACCAGCAATACACTTATGGCTAGTTATGAGGGATTATTTCGCTAAAGTGTTTGAGTTTGAAAGTGTTTCAAAACAATGAAATACCTCCTTCTTGGTACGGTGCTGTCAGTAGCATTGACAATGATCGTGTACTCTTCACCAACTTGCACTACGGCCCGAAGAAGCAACTGCCCATTGGTATTACTAATTGTAAACTTGCCAGCACCTCCATCAGAGACGCTCTGAATCTGATAAGTAATACTTGTGTCCACTGAGTCACGGTCCTGGGCTTGTACCTATATGAGTAAAACCGGCAATGTATCACATCTGTGAATCAGCAGCTTCATGTTTAAGAGCCACAAAGATGTATTCTTAGAGTAGACATATGATTTCATACATAAGCTGACTTATACACCAAAGTAATTAGTATGAGTATAAGACAAAATATTATGGACGTCAACTTCTTCTTCATTCTTTACACCTGACGAAGGGGCAAGGAATAGCCCAGAAACGTTGTGTATAGAATAAAGAATTCAAAGAAGTTGATGTCCATAATATTTTGTCTTATACTTGTATACCAACTTCTTTATGCCTCTCAAGAACCTAATTAGTATGAGTCAGTATAAGGACAAGTTATATCTGTACACTTTCTTAATTATTACATTAAATAACTTTTAACTAACGACATGTGCCGCCATCCAGAAAGGGTACCATTTGGAGAGTTTGAGGATCAAGCATCTAGCTCAACACACGTCCGTAAATCACATTATAGGTCTCATTGATTGCAGGAATCACTTTTAATGATACAATTTCCCACTGCCAAAAAGCAACAACCCACCTGGACAATAAATTCTCCAGCCCCTTGTGTGTAGTCTCCTTCAGGCAGAGATCTTCTGTAGGGGGTTCCAACAAAGAATGGAGTGTTGTCATTGATATCCACAACATTGACTGTCAGACTGATGCTTCCTGACCGCTGCTCTGCTGTACCCTGCTCCCGTACAATCACCTAAATCGAGACATATGATCAGAACCATGTAACAAACTGACTACTCTGCAAATATATTAGATCAGATGTCATTGGAGACATATTGTTATATATAATCTTGAGCACTTATTTCCCACTGTTAAAAGATTTCTGTGAGTGTTAGAAATTCTTTGATGTCTTCTCATTCAAGAGATACTCACATTGAATGTGTACTGTTGTACAGATTCATAATCCAGGGTCCAGCTGTTAATCGAAGGTAATTGTTGCTGTCAATATAGAATGGACTTGCTGGTGTAACTTCAAATGTATACTGCTGGGGTGGGTCTCCAGGAGCCTGAAACAACATGACACAAGGAACTGTTTAGACATGTATAACCTTCTCCATACCACACCAAAACACAAAGCAGTTTACCCATCAACTTATTACAGTGTTTACCTAGTAGAAGTCCCTTGGAAAGAGACTACATTGGACTAGGTGAAGAGGGTTGGTGACATGCCTGATTTTGTGTCATTGCACCCCAAGAGCCAATGCTCATGTTATTAACCTCGTGCTTACCAGTTCAAATCCGATTATATACAAGTCACTGTAACATAACTTATGTTTCAGCATTACACAATATTAACTCCCTCACAATATCTGAGCTGTATCACATATTATCTGTCAACTTACAATATCTGCATCTGTAATTATAAGCTGCAGAGGATTTTGAAGCTGCTGGTCCTTAATATATGCTCCAGTCAGGTCATTTTCTCGGATGTAGCCAATCTGAGAGCCGATGGATGTTGACACAGAGGGTGGGTTATTGTTTGCTGCGGTCACAGTCAGATACAAAATAGCACGGTTGTATCTCTGATTGGGAGAATTTTCTTGAATCTGTGAAACAAAAAACAATGATAGGATAACAATGCCTTCATATATACATATATGTATACAGGTTTTCATTCAACATTCATTTGAAATTTTGCAAAAGGATTTTATCAGTCAAATCTAGCACAAGTAATGCAGTCATGTATGCAGAACTTGGCAAGTTTCCACTTTTTATCAGTCAGATTGTTGAACTTTTGGTTTAAACTACAAGCTATGCCCAGTGATAGATATCCAAAAGCATGTTATTCAATGCTTTGTGGTCTGGACAGTGCAGGGAGAAAATCATGGGCCTCTTCTATTAGATGTTTGCTCTTTTCTTATGGTTTTGGTATCGTGTGGGAAAACCAGGGAGTTGGAGACAAGTCACTGTTTTTAACCATTTTCAAGCAGAGAGTTATTGACTGTTGGAGACAAAATTGGTCAGTAAACATTAAGGAAAGTAACAAGTTATCTCTTTATTGCCAGTATAAATCTTCACTTGAAATGGAGTCATATTTTAATGTGGTGCAAATAGACAGATATAGAATAGCTCTAACCAGATTTAGATGTACAAATCATGATCTTGCTACTGAAACAGGGAGATGGTTAGGAATTATTAGAGATGAGTGAGTGTGTAAATACTGTTTGTCTATGTCCAAAAGTTGTGTACTTGAGGATGAAATTCATTTTCTTATTACTTGCTCTCAATATCATGATCTTCGATCCCAACTGTTGAATATTCCCCATTATCTCTCCAACGAAAAGAAATGTATCCACATCATGAAGTGCGAGAATCAGTCACTATTAGCAGAATACATATTCAAGGCCTCAGCTGTGAGACAGAAGTTCCTCAATACCTGATGCAAGCGAGACAACTCAATCATTTTCCGCATAACATCTTGTCAACCTTCAACTATGGTTTAATTGTTTGACTTGTAACCATTACAAATTAGTGTGCTCATTCATCACTATATACATATACAATTTGATATGCTCTTCCTCAGACTTTTGTACCAAACTGCAAGGGAGTTAACCTTATCAACTTTTGCATTATCATATTGTCAACCTCTAATTATTATTGTTCAATTGTACAATGTATCTGCTTGTATAATTATGCCATTTACGCTCTTATGTAAGAGCCACCAAAAACATATGGCCCCTATTACCGAAATGAATTGAACTGGAACTTGATATGTATACAGGTGTAGTTAGTAGTTACAAAAAGTAAGACTATATTATCTTAAGCAGCAGTGCATCAACAATGGCAAAAAAACATCTGTGTCCCAGTTAACATACTTGTTGACAATTAACAAGATTTTCATTGGAAAAATAGTTATGGCAAATGTTGAAGAGTTACAAGACAAAATGTGAATTCAGACACAAGTGTCGACTGAATCCAATTTCCACTTCTTCTCATGGAATATTACAATAACAGGAACAGGGGCAGTCATTATATGAACTGAGGAAGGCAAGCGGTTCACCTAGATAATGCTCCACACTTGTGAAGGGTCCACTATGAATGAGTCGTGTTTTGGTGAGGTGTTATGTGGCCAGGAACATGAAGGATACACAGTGCTGCAGCCAGGATTTCCTTGGAAGTGGCCAGTTGGCCCCTGCCTTTAGAAAATGTGGGCCAATAACCAAAAGTGAACAAATCTGTAATCCTTCTCTTTGACAGCCGAAAAGATTGCAGAGCTCAGGAAGCCTTGTTCTGAATTCCGGAAGTTTTCAATATTTTGATTTTGATTTCCGAATGTTTGACATCGCTTTGAAAGAAAATAGTCGTATTTTGAAATTAATTACATGCCCAATATATAAAAACACATGATAAATTATAAATTTGTGCTATTGGCACATACATTTATAAATAAAGCGCCATGGTGAATACAATTAGTGGGGATCCCACAATTACGCTGTCTGGCTGCAGCATGTGATACACATTCTAAATTTTGTTTTCATCCAGTGCTGAGACTTTACAGACATTACACATATCTGTCACTGGATGTCATGTTATCCATTTGGATATTCCATGTCATTCAATTCCTTCTTTCAATCAACAGCTTTTACTGTGCTAATGTCCTTGCCTACAACCAATAAAGTAACTGACAATTGTCACAACAGAATCTTGATTTTCTTCATAATGTTTACACCTGAGAGCCTCAAGTCAAATGGACATAAAAGTAACTTTAACTTTTAACATTCTTTAACTACAATTGAAATTAACTTTATAAGAAGTGGTCATGTGCATGAAGCCAGCATAATAACACTGAGATAGGAGAAAGTTAATTCTGAATTTTTACCCGGATGATGACTCTCAGTTCTCCAACTACACTCCTGTCAATGGGTTGTAGCAACTGAAGACGTCCCCTGTAGGTGCTGGTACCTGACACTTGCTCACTCGTCACTTGAAATCGGTTCTCGTATCCACGAGGTTCAGCTGTCAAAAAAGCACATCTTTTGTTCTATTTCATTTTTAGATTACCACTTATTGAAACAAACTTGTTGCAATCATACTGATTTTTTCTACTATACCTCTGATGTTTTTGAAATTATATTATGCAATCAGAAATATATCATGTGTTTACCAAAGCCTATAGCTGACTTTAATTTCTTAAAATCACACTGTACAAGTACCAATATACATGTATTAACATAGCACCATGCTTCTTTGAGTACTTGTTCAGTTACATATTATGTTTCTCTTAGTTATATCACATGATGCAGATCTTAGTTGTTTCAATACAAAGAATCCATAAGCATATTTCACTTGGTAACATGTCAATAAACCTGTGTTTCTAATCAGTAAGCATCTGTGATTTCTGCTTGAATCCTGGCACTCATGACAGCAATTCACATCAGCATTTTATTATAGGTTAATTTGTGCATGATACGTGTAGTAGGAAATTGAGACTGAAGGAAAGTACCGACAAATGCTACAGAAATGTAGACAATTGCAGCGATTTTGAACAAGGGAATGATCAGTGATATTTATGTGTAGGTGACATAATGCTTACTCAATTCCACTGAGAAGATAATTGGGTTGTTTAGAGTGTCCTGATCCCTGGCTAGGATGTTGACAGGAACATTTGGGTTGGCAGCAGGATACGGGAAAACAGAAATCTCGCCAGGCTGGAACAAAGATTACAATATTTGTCGTTAATGGTCTCACACATGTTCCATACAGTAATCTGAAGCAAACCTCACAAACCAACGTATTTCACACACATAACCAAATGTACCCAATATTCAGCTGCATCTTCTGCATACTGGTAACTCCACGAATTAGCATCAATGTGTTTTCTCTGTTTTAAATCAGTCCCCTCTTTATCACATCAGACATGTACGTCAAAGACACTTGTATGTAAACCCAAGGTGAACACAAGATAACCTGGTAGTTTAGATAGACTTACCAACTGTCCTGATACCATGGATGCAGTGTACGTTGGGTTGAAACATCTATTTTGACTATCAGTGTAACATGTTGGATACACAAAGATGGGCTTCTGGTCGTCTCCATCTGTTATTGTGACATTCAGGGTGGTTATAGCAGTTCTTTTAACCTCAGGTGGTTGGGCAGAATCCTACAGAAGGGAAGAAATTGGTTAAAACGGTATTGCAATGAAGTACTTTGTTTAGACAACTGGAATTTATAGCATATTCTGTGATGCAAACATACCATTGCTCTGATTGACAGGAGGTAGTTGGTGTTCCCAGCTGAGTTCAGGCTTTCAAAGTCCAGAGTATTTTTCACTGTCACATATCCCAAAGATGGGATGTCAATAGCAAATTTATCTGATCCTGCACCCTGTAAGAGAAAGTCAAAATAATTATTATCGATCATGACAACAGACAACTAATTCCTTTACAAAGAACTAAAAAAGCTACAAAAATAGTTATAATAACGAAGAAAGTTGTTTTTCTTTACACTAGTTGGCACTATAAAAGAACATTAGTTATGTATAAAGCAGCTCTTACATCAATGATATCAAACACAATGTTCTTGTTGAAATCGAAGTCCAGGTCAGTGGCTGTAACACCTCGAAACACTGTTGTACCAATTGGAGTTAACTGGAACAAAAGACAGTCAGATTTAGGGAAGTGGGGTTTCACATATCACAGAAATGAACTTTAGATGAATAGTAACAAAATTCATCAAAATCTTAATTGGGAGAAATCTATCAACTTTTTGCAAGCTAGATCTAAGACTTGCAAGCAAGTAAAACCATCCAGCTTCAGAACACATCCAGCTATCGCTGGCGAATTTACAGGTAAACCATATATAGATCAAAGCCCCATGATCAGAGTGAACTATCTATGTTTTACCTCTCTATATCTAGTAAGCATTAGCAACTTACCTCATTGACAGATACAGCATATGGATCATTTTGGAACACAGGACTGTTGTCATTGACATCTATAATCTGAACCCTCAGCAACATTAAGAAAGCCTAACAAGACAAAAAAGACAATTAAAACCTGTATGATATTCACATCTCGATGACACAGACACCTGCCCAAGGGACAGAAATGGCTTGGAAAAGTTAAGTAAGAGCAATGGATCTGTAGAGCACTCAACACTTGTCACAAAATAAGACAAAAATGATACATCATTTGTCTATCAAAAAAGGAAGGAAACTTACATCAGACATTTGGTGATGTAACATAATCTTGTAAATAGGAATTCTGTAGCATTTGAAAATGTCATATACAATGGACCTACATTATTTGAGCTGAAGACAAAAGTGCCATACAATATACATATGATGTGTTTCACTTTATGTATGTAGTATTCTGTAATTACATAGCTCCACAGTATTCAATCACACTGATCTACTAACATTATACTAGAATTTGCATAAACCCTGTTCTACATGTTTCAAAGAAACTAAATGCAGTTTTAACACAAAACATATATTATACATTAGTGTAGTCGTGGTCATATTTGTGCATTTGTAATTTAAGATATGTAATACTTATTTCTATAAAATATGGATAAAAGTGATCTAATTCTTATACTTAATGATAAAAAAATAAACAAAAATAAATGCATCTAACTGAATAATCATCTTAAAGAAAATGGGTCAGAATGAAAATCTTATAAAGACCTAATTGAGCATGTCAAGCAAATGAAAGCATGAAAAAAATCAGCAGCATTAAGTTGAGCATTCAGCAATAACAGCATGTTACTCACTTCATACTGCTTCACTGCAAGTAATGCAAACTGAAAACGTCAAAAAATAAATTCAAAAGATGTCACACTCGTATGTTATCTGATACAATAGAAATGGTGAAAAATGAAAAAGAAGAAGAGAATACTGTGAGACTAAAAGTCAAAACTTGTATTTCAGCATCACTTACGACTGTTGTTAATTTAATATTTACTATTTCAATGTGAACTCCAGACCTATTGTTTTGAGACTTTTATGTCACATAAGCTGAGCCATAAAAATTTAAAAAAAAAACAATATCTAAATATGAGTTGGAATAAAATTTCTGGTTAGCTGTTGAAAATAGCAACTACATTATTACAAGTAGGTATGTCAAAAGTAAGGATTTCTTCAATCAAATACAAACTTCATCACACATTTGCTGACACTTCCAAAGATTTGACCAGACTAAACAAGAAGATAGATGATCTGGGATTAATGGAAGGTTAAACATGCTAAAGTTGTGGATAATAAGAAATATGGTAAAATATTTTCAAGTGAAGTAGTTTTTACTGTTTCAACCGCTTCAAGTTTAGCAAAAAATATTTACAAAACAATGAAAGCAAAGAAAATATAAGGAAGCCTCAGTTCAGAAATATACAAACTTGTCCACTCTGTAATGCAAAGAAAAAATGATATAAATAATGCTGTAAATCATAGACAAAAGTAACTTATAATTCAGATCCCTGAAACACGAAACTACCTCCCATACCTGTATCTGTGTGTTAGGCACCCCTGAAGAGCAACCTCCTCGTGGTGGGTGCTGGGTAATGCTAATGGATACCCACAATTCCTCATCTGATGAGAGTACGCCCACTCGACCTGACTACTGGCCACGCTTCCTAATCATCGAAACTTGTTACAAACAACCTTTACAACTAAATCCATTTGCAATCTCCAAAGGTATTGCTGGTATCTGCGGAGTTGCAAATGTCACAAAGCTCAGATCCGGTTCTCTCCTAGTAGAATGTGCTAGGAGACAGCAATCCCTTAATCTTCTCAAGATACAAGAATTTGTCAATGTCAAGGTTGCTCTCTCAGTGCACAAAACACTAATCACGTGTAGAGGCATTGTCCGTGACAGAGCTCGATGCCTGTCTGACAAGACTGAGGAACAGATTTTCCAGGAACTTTCTCAGCAGTCTGCCACAGCTGTGAAGCGATTCACTATTAAAAAGGATGGAGTGGTTCAACCCACAAACACCTATCTCTTTACGTTCGCCCGAGCAATGATTCCCGACTCTATTAGAGCTGGCTATTGTAGTATCGGAGTGGAGGTGTACATACCCAACCCAGTCCGGTGCTATAGCTGCCAAAACTTTGGACATGGATCCAAGTCCTGTTGTTCCTCTGTTGTTTGTTACCGCTGTGGTGACAAACATGAGAGCAATGACTGTACTAAGGAAGTGAAGTGTCCAATCTGCGGTGTTAACCATATGGCCTCCTCCAAATCTTGCCCTGTATGGCAGCGTGAATCAGAGATCATAAAGATCAAACATGAACAGAACATCTCCTTTCATGAAGCTAAAAAGAGGGTTATCAGGAGACCTTATAAGTACAGTGGCCCGGAAAAACCAATCATTCAAGTTGAATGATGTCAAGCACATTGTCAACACTGCTATATGTGACATTGACATTGCACGCTGACATGCATGTGTTGAACATGTCAAGAAGGTGGAGAAAGAGTACTGGCTCAAAGATGGCTTGAAGGAGCAAACAGTTAATCCAGTTGTCATTCGTCTGGACACTGATGACTCCTCTGTGGAAGAATGGAGTGAACTTGATGAAGTTTAATTCTGTTATTATATTTACAGATGATAATAGTATCCAGCCAGATATTCTCAAAGAAATATAACTTCTTTTAACAATGACAGCACTCACTAATTCAAATGACTTATAGTGTAACGTGAAACACTCATTTCACATAAAAGTATCATGAAAATAGAAATATTAACTATATATATGCTTAAAGCTATTAGAAATGCATTGCTTAATTTGGAATGTGAACGACATCAAAACATAACACTTTTGTCTTCATTCTATATTTTCTTAAGTGAGTGTGCATGATTGTGTGTGCTTGTGTCCGAGGGAACGGGGCTTTAACAGTTGTTGAGTTCTAACCATAGGTGGTCCGATTAATGATTTAGTGTAAATATACTTTCTGTGTTCTTTAAATGCAATTCCACTTAGGTACTGCATAAACAAAATATGACATTAACATTACAAATTTAAAGATTTTAACCTACAGAATAATTCTCACTAATGGGTTTTGTGGTTAATGTTGAACAACTCAGAAACAAACTCCGTATGATGGTTAACAGTTGGCACCCACCTTACCCTATTCACGACCTGTGACACCTCTTCATACCTGTCACGTGCATAGCTGACATACATTAACGAACGTTGACCTTTATTACCCAACACTGCCGCTGTTACAGGTCATTGGCTCCCTCCCCCTGCAAGCAGTCTGCGTTCTGCTGTTTATTTATGCAGATTCTTTAATACAAATGCATAAAATCGGTGATTTCCAATGTGATTAGGTTGTCTGACAAAACAGCCACTTGCACAGTTTGAGATCGATAGGGTCATTGGATGAAGAGATATTTACAAAAAAAAACGGGTCCCCATGCATTTCATGCCAAACTATACTTGGGTTGTCAATTAAGACGTGATGAGGTAATTTTACGACGATGTCGTATTGGTCACAGTCGGTTTACTCATGACTATCTGCTGAAAACGGATGGGGATGGACCTCCCATGTTTGTCTCTCTTGCGATGAAGTGTTCACCATCAAGCATATTCTGCTTGACTGTGCGGACTTTTCGACTGCAAGGGTTGCACATTATGATGCGAGAAATCTGAAGATCTGTTTTTTCCCGCGTAAGCGGGCATCTGATTGTAAACTACCTGAGGGAAGTTGACCTGTATCATAAATTGTAACTTTGTAAAGAGAATAACAAATTGCTTGCTTTTGTATTTGGTGCTATGACATTTTCTGTTTTGAAATAGAAATGTAATAAATATATATGTTTTTAAAATATAACTCTTTGGACCTTGGACTTAAAATGGTAATGAATGGAAACTTGATCTCGTCACTATATTGCTGGAATAATACCCATGTGGCGTAAAGCCCAACTCAACTCAACTCAACTCAACTGTATCTGTGTATTAACTTAAATGTCAGTAAGAATCAATTCAAAAGATTTACACACATGTGTTATCTGATGCAATGACAATAGTGAAAATGAAAAAGAAGACGAGGATACTGTGAGTGTAAAAGCCTGAACTTGTGTTTCAGTATCACTTTCGACTGTTGTTAATTTGATAATGTAATTTTTAAAGTAATTTAAATACTTAATTAAATATTTTATACTTATCCTGACTCATGCTTATATGCTCATCTCCTTCCTCTATGCGAATGGTAGTGGAACACTTGAATCACATGAAGTTCCCAAAGTTCACTCACCCACGAGTTGCCTCCCTTTTCCCGCGCAAACAGTCATGTGACCTGCCATGCTTGTCACTCTCTCCTGAATAAGCCCTAGCACCTGAGTTTACTGTGAAACTCGAAGTGTCTTCAGCGGGGAGGTTGGGAGGGCTTGATCTCATGAGTCAGGATAAGTATATAATATCAATTTTACTTTAAAAATTACATATTTTTCCTTATCCTGACTCATGCTTATATGCTTACAGAATCCGACGGAATCGGTGGTGGGTCAAGCCACGAAGTGGATTCATCATTTAGTGGATTCATCAGCTGTCCTTAGATACGCGGTGTATTCCCCTCCCCCACCCCTCCCCACCCAGGAACTGCGTTATGGCACTTCCTGGATCCTATTCTTCCAACTTCCGTTATCAACTCGAGGGGACAAATTCTTGTTATAATTCTCTAAGACAAATGAATCTCTTAGATTCATGTGGATTTTTATACCTTTTTATTAGTTGTCTATAAACAACCCATGGATTATGATAAGATTGTTACAATAAATGAGTTGCGACCCCTTAACGTATGGGTAAGATCGTGCTAGTGCGCATGGACTCTCCAGAGTGAGGATTATCAACAAGTAAACGTGATAAAGGGTGCGAGTTCCAACTCAGCGCCTTTGTGGAACCATTAGTTGTAGTGCTACAACAAGTGGCCCAAACTGGTGAATGCCGGAGACGTCTTCAGTGGCGATGTCTCTGAGGTAATGGTTGGCAAACACCGTGTCTGACTTCCAAAAGCATACAGAGCGAGAGTG